AAAAAAAAAAAAAAAAAACTGGAACAACCCTCGGCTTACAAATTTGGGGCATCTCGTGTTTTATTAGCTCAGCTTGCAAATTTCACCGCGGTTCCCGGCCCTAGTGACAATTCGAGCTTCTTGACTCGCAAAAGATCCTAGGTCGCGCATAGACAACCAATAACGATATGCAGTGTTTTAGAGAACTAATAACCAAGATGACTAACATAATTGCATGCTTCTCTTTCTGTTTTGTTTAGCACAAATGCATGAATAGTGTCAACTTACATGAAGTCATCCCGAATGCTCATCAAGATATCTAGTCAAATAAACCACTGAACAAATGAATAAGATATAAAATGAATGGTCGAGTTTTGAACACTACATTTTGGAATCGCATCTTAAGATAAAACTAATAAAGATATAATCTTTTTTTAACAAATAAAATTTATGCTATAAGCTCACAAATATGAATTATTGTCAAGGGACCACGTGGGAGTCCACCAGTGATGACCAAATTGAAAATGGGTAGTCTTCGAGTGCACCCAACGAGTCCGTATGTGTACGGTTTACACACTTCCATTGCTTTATTTTTATTATACTCAGAAATTGTAATTTACAACCAAACTAAAGCAGTACTTTTATCAAATCTAAGCCCCTATAAATTAACAATTCCCTACACTCTCTACACACCTTCAGTTATCTCTCTCTTTCATTCTCTCTCTAGATACACATACACATATACATACACATATATACTTGCGATATGCAAGAGGAGAAGAAGGTGAAGGTGAAGAAAGGGTGGGTGGCAGTGGAAGTGGGATTAGCAGATGATAATGAAGATGGAGGAATCTTTCAAAGATTTGCAATCCCAATTTCATATTTATATCATCCTCTATTTCAAAGGCTTCTTGATGAAGCTCGAGAAGTATACGGCTACCACACAACGGGCCCTCTTAGACTGCCATGTTCAGTCGACGATTTTCTTCATATTCGGTGGCGGATTGAGAAAGAAACCACTAGTCACAGTCACCACCACCGCCACCTCTCAGCTTCTTTATCGTTTCACTCGTGTTAAAATTGTACTGTGGATTTAGTGAGGAGGCTCTTCATGTATTTTCAATTATTGATGCTTCTTTTTTACACAGTGGATGGTGATTTTCATAGTGAAATGATGTAACCTATCTTCTATGTAAACTAAGGTATATAAATATATATATATTTTGTCTCTCTTTTTCCTATGTAGTATGATTCGACAACATGAATTGAACTATATAATATCGACCATGTAAGTAGTGCATTTGGTGGCATCTTTACTTTGGTATCTCTTAGAATTTTCTTATTTTTTCTGTCGATTGAAGTGTTGAGTTGGAAATTAATTTAAATAAATAAAAGTTTTCCTTTAGCGCAGTTTAAGATCTTATAGAAATATTGTGCACATATCATAGTTATAGTGCATGATAAAAAATAATAGACTCAAATTTAAGTTTCATTGATATCCTTTTGTATATTGTGCATATATCATAGCGTTGATTAAAAAATTGAACTTGATATGATGAATTTCGATGTGTTACTTAGGTGATTATGATTTGAAATTCGCAAGTGCACGGTATCTCAGATAAGTAATAAAAAGTGAATAAAATATTGTTCCCACTAAAGCTTTTATCTAGCTAGGAAATCGATTAAATGTAATCCAAAAATTAGCCAATTTGTGGGTTAAATTTTTTTTAATTAAACTATAAATTAACTAAAGCTTGATTAAGAATTTTGGAGAAGATTTCAAATATGACAAAGCACTAGGATTTTACTCGATCTACGTTTTTCCACTTTAATGCACAACTTTGTGTAATTGACCACGATTAGCTTGAATTGATGATTGATGTTCCTAATGTGTTTAACTATACTAAACCTATTTTTACGTATGAATATCCTATATATCTTTATGGAAGTTGTGAATAAGCAAACATACAATCAAAGCTAGAACATGCAATCAAGGATCACACAAAGCATAGCTCTACGATGTTTGCTACAAGTACATTAATTTATCAAATAATTGCTACGATGTCCTTGAATTTTCATTGTTGTCCTTGCTAATTAAGATTTAACCCCTGTTTGACACCCATTTTTTCTCATTCCATTTCTCCTTTTCGTTTCAACCACACATTCTATTAATAAAATAATATTATACATAAATCCAAAAATTCTCCTTACTTTTTAACCACACAATCTTCCACCAATCACTATTTCAAAAATCATTTTTCAAACAAAATGGGTGTCAAACAGGGGCTTAGCTACACGTGTTCGAATTAATAAAATAAGTAAAAGTTGAGCTCGACGTCACCGAGATTATGAAGATAGAAGAATAGATAGATTTGTAAAACCTTCAAGCATTAGACTTCAAAATTCTCAAATTCTTTATTTCTTTCGAGCTCCGAACCCTAAATGTAAGATGTTTTCTCTTCAAAAAAAAGCTCCCTTAATATGTCTAAAACTTCTTGTATAATATAAAGGATTTTAGAACTTAATTCACGCCAAACTATACCAAAAACATCGTTTGAAGTACTGCAAATTGAATAACATTAGGATTCAGGTTGCAAAATTTCGCCTTGGCTAAATCTGGCTGAACTTATCCCATTTTCTATCTTGAATTTTAGGCTCTTTTTTTGGAATTGGGATGGAGACACATGACAATTAGCGGTCGATGATTTTCTTCTTTCTACCCATCATCATCATCATCATCATCTTGTCGAGAACTAAAATTTAAACCATTTAGCCTCTGTTTGGCACCCATTCTCTTTCTATTTCTCATTTTCTTTTTTTATTTCAACCACAAAATCTCCAAATAAAATAATATTACACACAAATCTAAAACTTTTTATCACTTTTCCACCACACATTCTCCTATCAATCACCATTCCAAAATTTTTCAACCCATTAAAATGGGTGTCAAACACTCCCTTAATCCATATTTGATAGGTTGAATCGAACTTAATAGACTAATAGTACTAAAGAATAATTAAAAAATATTATAATTTTCCATTTAAGACATCAAATTACTATACATCTTGCATGGTAACTTGTTATTGACATCTTTTGAAAATTACAAGATATCATTGGACGACCAAATCAGTGGTGAACTTTTGATGGCCTATGTACTTCAGTGAGGCATCTATTGAACTGGGAAAGTCAACATTAGGATTATTCAGTAGAAGTTGTATACTGTGTCTGTGTACGTTGAAACTTAAACAAGAATAAGGCAATATGAAAAATAATAATAAGAATACAAGATTTACGTGAAAACTCAATTATGAAAAAAAATCACGGAAAAAAAAAAAAGATATCACTAATATCGAAATATTTAAGGAGTACAAATTATGTTGGATGATCTCCCAAGAGATATAATTACTCCTTTATATAATATAAGAAGAGTCTAATAAAATGTGGAGTCTTAATATAATAAGCACAACTAATAACGAAGTGTTTGAGATTGAGAGGATGTTTGGTGGGGATTAAAATTAGATTTTTAGTGAACTATGATAGAAGTTTTTGAAACGTGTGGTTGAAAAAATGTGAGACCCATAAAACATGTGTTTAATATTGATAATTTGACTTTAACTTAAATTAAAATCAGATTTTAATCCAGTCCAAACAGACGAATATGAGAGAATAATTGTTAAAATCGCATAACTCAATTGCACCAGATAACATGACCATTCGAGTGGTTCCCTTGTGGCCAGTGAGCGATGCCACGATCACTCGAGCGCTTGTCTAACGGTTAGCGAGCGGTGATGTTATTGAAATTTTTGCTCAAGCATTGGGTGAGCAACCAGCGAGTGGTCTTCAACACGAATATTCTCCTTTTTTACTTCTTTAATTTCTGCAACTATCAACTCTCAATAGAATTCTCAAATATAATTTCAAATAAAATTTGGGTCACAAGCGAACTCTAACACTATACTATCAGAGTTTTAGCCATCATTTAGAAGTGATTATTTGAAAATTCACGTTTTCCATAGTTTTCCATACTTTTCAAATTCACATTCTTAAAAAATAAAATAAGAAATTCATTATTTGAATAATCACTTCCAAAAAGCTATTAATCAAAGAACGAATTCAATCTGCAATATTAGTGATGTTAAAAGTTGCAGTCAAGTTTAATATTGTTTGTTTATTAAAATGTGATGACCAACAGAACTTAAAGCAACCATCTTATATTCCAGTTGTTGAAAATAGGACTCCAAATTGCCTAGAAATCGGGCTCAGTTAACTTCTAATCGACACCACAAACACAACCAAATTCTCCCAACCTATCTTCCCAATCCGGTTGCTTTCTTGACTACCCACAAAGGGCAACGGGTGATGAATATTCAAGGCACAATAACCAGCCACAAAGGCTAAGAAAAAGGGAGAAGAAGATGGCACAAAGCCAAGGAGAAAGCGCCAAGCCAATCGACCCTCACTTCTCTCTTTTTCACATTCACGGCTGCCCAATCAATTCACTCACACACTTAACAACAGTAATGGGGCACACATATATAAATGTTGGATATAGGCTTTTAGGGTTAGGCCCAAGAGGAAATAATAAGGCCCAAAAGGTACCAAGTAAATAGGTTATCAACCAACAAGCCGTCCAAGGTAATGGATAGGGTCATGACCAACGCTAATGAAATTAGGCTACTTCAAATGTGGCTTTCAACCTTAAAGCCGTCCAAGGTAGTGGGTCTGGCCATGAGCTACGCTAATGAAATTAGGCTACTTCAAATGGCTCAAATAGGTTGTAGGAATGACTTGTATGATTGTGGTGTCGACATTTCATTTCACTCATCGGCCGAAGGCCTATGAAATACAATCCAAAAACAAAACACGGTCTAACATCGTAGCCCGAATTTATTGGGTATCAGAACCCAATACCAGTAATTATAAGTGCATTCACTATTCAACAGTATTAATTGATGAAGCCAGTTAACCCATCTTGTCGGAAAAAAAAAACAAAACTCTTCTCATAATTGTTCACAATAGAACGTGCATAGTCTGTTACGTTCAAATATTACTTCGTATTAACGTATTTTTTAATCAAAATTAATCGAAAGAGAGAAAATGTGAATCAAGCCAATTTAAGTCATAGTTTTTAAAGATCATGTAAGATGCTTTATGGACCTCAATTAGTGCTTACTATAATTAAATTAAAGATTCTTGTGGAGTAAAGAAACTATATGGAAGGCGACTGAATCTCCAAAGTTTTGAGAGGTCCTCCGTAATTGCTTTGAAAATCAACGGGTAGAGAACATATGCTTTAAAATATTAAGTTGAAAAACATACTACGATCAAAAAGAGGAGGTATCTTCGAATGCATCACAATAAATCCGTACGTATAATAGTATCACAAGAATTTTGTCTATTGTTGCATTAGTATATTATTTGTACTAAGGAAAATAGTATAAAGAGGGATATTTTCTCGAGTAAGTGACGATCAAAACAAGAAGAAAAAACTTGGTGTACATCACAAGACAGATTCGGTAGACAAAACCTATCTCCATTTTCAGGCCCTATAAATGGAACCCATAAATTGTCTCAAGACTCAACATTAGTCTAAAAATTCTAGCAAAGACTACAAAAAAACGATAGCTGGTCATCTTCTTTGAGAACTAGCAACAATGCATAGGCAAGAGGAGAAGAAGATGAAATTGAAGAAAGGGTGTGTGGCAGTCCAGGTGGGATTAGAAGATGGTCAATTTCAAAGATTTGTCATTCCAATTTCGTACTTGTACAATCCCCTCTTTCAGAATCTTCTCGATAGAGCTTGCGAGTTCTATGGCTACCAAACAAGTGGGCCTCTTAGGCTACCATGCCCGGTTGAGGATTTTCTTCACCTCCAACAACGAATAAAAAGGGGTGCAAGTAAGCATAATTGTCACCGTCATCACTGAAACCTTGTTGCTGCTTCTTTATGCTATACGCGCGTGTTGATATTTTTGTGAGTATAACCAATGAGTCTTGCCTGAAGACTGAAGTAGCACATTTCTCTTTCTTTCTTTTTTTGCTCTTTTTTGATTGGATATGAATGGAGGAGGCATGCCAATTATTGTTCAACGATATGCTTCTTCCAATCTTTCATTAGAATTTCTAGTGATACACATCCAAATTATTGTAAAGAAAATGTTAAATATGCACAATTTTGAGTGGACTCTTCCATCTTCAATGGTGAATTGGTAACGATCAATTTAATATTGATACAACAAAATAGAAGAATTGCGTATAATAGAATGGAGTAAGAAATGTGCATACAATGCATGATGGACATAATGAGGAGGCTCCTTCATTTATTTATTTTTTTTATTCAATTATGCCTATACTTTATTCCACTATATATTTTACAAGTTGAATGGAACTGAAAAATCTTAATGAAAAAAAGAAGATTAAAAATTTAATATCGTATCCAATTGTTGGCATTTTTGGTAAATTTGCCAAAAAAACAAATTGATATATTTTGTATAGTAACTTGTTGGCATTTTTGGCAAATTTACACGACATCATGGGACAACCATGTGAGTGGCGCGCTTAAATTTTTCGAGCAAAGAGGACATGTAGAATGAAACAAATCACTTGAAAATTTAAATTTTTAAAAGACTTGTTGATTTATGAGAGATGTGCTGAAAATTAAAAAATGTAATCTCTCTAAGATCTTTAAGAGTATTAAATCTGATATTAAAGGCGTCAACAATTATCTACTATGGCCACTAAGAAGAAGGCTATTCAATCTTGTAGCCCGATGATGGACGTAGCTCTTGCATTGAGATTGAACTACCTTAAATCGTGTTTTTTGTTTCTATTTCTCTGTTGTTTCGTGTTGATAATTGCTCTTTTTATCAGTTTGATTCATAACATTCAAAACACACCGTACATTTGATAAAATGCACGAGCTTTCACTTCTTGTCTCCAAAAAATCAACAATGTTAGATGAACCCTTTTTCATGGAAACTATATATGACAAATTCCATGTACTTTCGATAAATTCATTACTTGGAATTGGTTTGCACATATTACATGTTGTACTTTATTTTGTTTGATTGATACTAATAATTCTTGATCACACTTCGAGCCAATGAAAATGTGAAGAAAACAAGTACAAGACACTTCAAGATTCTTTTGTTTGACAAATTTGATTGAATTGTCTTGGTCTAATATTCCTCCGTATTGAATTACATATTTTAAGAAAAAAAAATTAATCAAAGTTAGTCCTAGTTTTTAAGAATTAATATTGTAAGATGCTTTATGATTATGGACCTCGGTTAGTGCTTGCTTTAATTAAATTTGAAGAATCTTGTGGAGTAAAGGAACTGTATGGAAGGTGACTGAATTTCCAAAGTCCTAAAAGTTGATAAAATATTTATTTTAAAAAATTAAGTGGAATGAGAAAAAATAACAACCTACTACTACACTAGTGACGACCAAATAGAGAGAGTATCTTCGAGTGCATCACATCGAGTTCGCATGTACAAATATATGTGCCAATTCTACTAGCAAGCTAGGAATCGTTATAATATTGTCTATTAATGTTCCATTAATATATTAAAGTAAAATAATTCAAAGACTGATTCATTCACGAGTGAGTGACAATCACGAGAAGAAGAACTTTGTGTGTACCATAAGACAGATTCCATAGACTAGACCTCTAGTTAATGTTAGAATAATTCTATTACGTGTGTTTTCATTTGATTGCGAATTTTACGGGTTAGATGTATGGCTTGCAATGATACTATGATTATACCCAATATGTTAAATGATCACTTAAGCCGTTGTACACCTTACAGATTTTATTCTTATAATGTGGAAATTTTAAGTATGTGGGTCGGAATTACGTAAACCCTAATTAGAGTTAGAATCGGTAATGAGCCAGCTTTACAATTTTCTATATAATGGCAAGAAGAGGAAGATCCAACTGTTAATATTCATAAACACAAAATGTCTTCCGCAAGTATGAATTTCAAATTATCAATTAATATATGTGATTCTTATTCTTAGCATGATAACTTTGAAATTTCAATCTTTCAATCGAGCATATTTATGGATCTTTTCAAAACCAATTTTATTAACTTTTGAACAATATTTTCAACACCTTGTTCATTATTAATTTCATTACATTTTAAATATTACTCACAAATGACACAACATAAAGTGAAGCCAAATTTAAGGCCTAGTTTTCAATATAATTAATACCATGTGATACTTTTGCTTATTGCTTTAAACATTAAAGATTCTTTGTGAAGTGTCACATACCTAACTGTTTTATCCTTCATTAATTTATAAAGAAATTATTCGAGGTGGCTGAATTCCCAAAGTCAAAAGGTGTACCATGATAGATGTAAAAATCAACGAGTAGAAGATTTGTTGGAATATAAATTAAGTGGAGCTAAAAGAATCAACCCTCCGCTGGTGACGACGGAAAAGTCAAGAACATCTTCGAGTGCATCACAACAAATCCGTACTCTACCATGTCCATGTCCATGTGTGTGTGTGTTTTTCTTGTTGCATTATATTCTTAATATATATTAACTAAGTTCAAAGAAAAAATACAAATAGGGATCCAGGAGTGATCAAAACTAGGAGGAGAAACTTCGAGTGCATCATAAAAATGATTCCATAGCAATGCAAAATCTTTATTTCTCCACTGTCAGCCCTATAAATTGATAGCACAAATCCTCTCGTCTAAAAACTTACACTTAAACACTTACACCAACAATACAAACACAATTAGCTAGCCAGCAATCTTCTAAATATACTAGCTACAATGCATAGAAAAGGGGAGAAGAAGATGAAATTGAAGAAAGGGTGTGTTGCAGTCAAAGTGGGATTAGAAAATGGTCCATTCCAAAGATTTGTCATCCCAATTTCGTACCTACACAATCCTCTCTTTCAAAGGCTTCTTGATAGGGCTTGTGAGTTCTACGGCTACCATACAAGTGGACCTCTTATGCTACCATGTTCAGTCGAGGATTTTCTTCACCTCCAACGACGAATAGAAAGAGATGCCAACAAGCCCAATCACCATTGTCACCACCACCACCACCACAATCTATTTGTAGCTTTGCCACATTACCTTAGTTGATATTTTTAGGGGACTTATACTTGAGGAGTCTTGCTAGATGTACCACATTTTCTCTTTCTAGTTCTTGTGCTATTTCTTGATGGATTAAGAATGAAGGAGGCATGCCGGTTAGTGCCAACTATGAATGCTTCTCTCTACGTTTCATTAGAATTTTGTCGAGGATGTTTATGTCCAAGATAATGTAAAGGCAATATGTTACGATATAGTTGTTTTATCTCCAATGATGAATGCCTTTTCATTTTAGTTTCTCTTCCATTCTGAAAGAGGAGGCGAATGACAATTTCGACTAATAAAGTAGTAAAACAATATTGAGAAGCAAACGCATAAACAATTAGGTTGAAGACCCTCTTTTAGACAATCCTCATGTAGGATACGATTTAAATAATCAGTTGTGTAGCTTTAACCAATTTTTACTATAGATAGAGCCAGCTTAATGATACATGTACGCCCTTATGTACGTGTTGCATCTCCCATAAAAAAAGGATAAGGTTGTCCCAAGAAACTTTGGAATTACAAATTAAAACAAAAAATAAACGAAATCAAGAACTACTAATCATTTTTAGCTTTCTTATTTGTTGAGGAGTACTGGAATCAAGCCAACAAACTTATTCTACTATATCTCCTACGATTGCACTCGAACTTCAACACAAATCGGAATAAGAATCTCGTTCTTATTTTAAGATTGAAATGCCTTCATTATATATGTGAATTCAATATGCTTTCAAGAATCATCACCTTCAATCCCGATTAAAGGAATAAAAATAACCTATGTGTACTTGTTTTTTGTTGTTCAAGATGTTCAATTATTTTCACATAGACATGTCTTAGTTAAAGGAAAATATCCCTAAGAAATTATAATTGCTATTCAAAATATCATGCATGAAAGAAGGAAAGACCTTTTATTGAATTTGCACATAAAATTCTCATAGACTTCTCCAAATTACCCACTTTAAAAAATTAAATTTGGTAATGAAATAAAATATTAATTAAAAAATGAAGAAAAATATACTTTTTCAACAATAAATAATACTCCGTTGTTACACAATCTATTGATATCTATAATGTGTATATAAAGTCCAGCATCAACATCAAATAATATAAATCGACAATCTTCCCCAACTTTTATGAATCAATATGTTAGAATGACTTATGAATCGAATGAACTTCTATTAATGAAAAGTTAGTGTAAATTATCCCAAGGATATCATGTCAATATCAACTTCATGGAAACCAAACTACATATATGTGACATATTTGATGTGCTTTTGAATACATATCTTGGAAGAATTAAGTTAGATGAACTTACACCTTAGATGACATTCCCCTCTATGTGGAGAAGATATGTGCAGTCATGTGGTGGATGAGTTTAAAATCAAGAGTGTGCATGTTGTCACGAAAAAGAGTGTAAATGAACGTGTAAGGGAGAGTGTATATGTAGCATGGTTGATCTTGGAATTTCTTGCCCATATCACATTTTATACTTTGTTTTGTTTCGCACAAAACCAAAAATATTAATAACCAAAAGTCAAGCCTAATATCAGTCCTAGTTCCTTTGAGGAATATAATTAGATTCTTCACGGAGTAGTCCATAAAATAATTGAACTAAATTTCCTTAGTAGATTGTCCCATTTTCTAATTGGTTTGTCCTCGTTTTTGTAAAGAAACCGTATGCATGGTGGCAGCGAATCCAATGATTTGGAAATCATTTGTCAAAAAAAAAAAGTGAATGGGGACATGAGAAGATCCAACGAAGGAAGAGTAAAAGGAGATTGCGACCATTTCTGTTATTATTTCGATATAAAAACATCTAGAGTTGATTCCCTTACAAGCACAAAAAAAATTGCCAATTGTACTTACTAGGGAGCAGTCATATATAATATATAAACACAAGCCAATTGTCTGTAGTTCCATTCATAAGATATTATTTGTACAAAGAAAAATTACAAATAGGGATCCATTGGTGATGATAACTAGAAGGAGAAACTTCGAGTGCATCATTACGCAGATTCCATACCAAGCAAAATCTTAATTTCTCCACTTGCATCCCTACAAATTGACCGCATAAATCATCCATTGTCTTAAAACTTACGCTCTTACGCCAAGATTACAAACACAAGCAGCTATTCATCTTCTTTTACTTGCTACAATGCATAGGCAAGAGGAGAAGAGGATGAAATTGAAGAAAGGGTGTGTAGCAGTCCAAGTAGGGTTAGAAAATGACTCATTTCAAAGATTTGTCATCCCAATCTCTTACCTGTATGATCCCCTCTTTCAGAGGCTTCTCAATAAAGCCAGCGAGTTCTATGGCTACCAAATAAGCGGTCCCCTCATGCTACCATGTTCGGTCGAGGATTTTCATCACATTCAACGACAGATAAAAAGGGGCACCACTAAGCATAGTCACGGTCTCCGCTGTCACCACCGTGCTTCCACCTTGTCATATCAGTCTTGACAATGTATTAGTTCGCGCCTTACATTGTGGGTACTACGTACATACTACTTAGTAGTTTCTTCCTTGCCTTTTCCTTTTATTTTCCCCGCTATTAGATGGAGGAAGCAGGTCGAATGCATGGTTCTCTCTACTTTCTCAAGTATTTGCGCATGTAAATTTTTTAAAAACTCTAGTCAATGAAATTGGGAATACATACACTACAACAAAAATAGCTTTTTACGGCATACGTTTACGGCGTGCAATTGACGCATGCCGTAAAAAGTCTCTTTTTACGACGTGCAAAAAATACGTGCCGTAAAAGATCAACTGCATA